GCCGACTATATGATACCCCACACCACTATGCATATTTAGTAGAGCTCTCGTAAAAAGGTTTATACAGGGCATTTCAGAGCTCTATGAGATATTTGGTACAAAATCAAAATCTATCTAATTCTATCGTGCATTTTACGAACTATAGCTATCTCTGAACCGGGTTTCTCCAAATTTTACGTATTCTTCTTCTTCTTCTAGACTGGTGATTTGGGCTGATATTGACCATTTTGTGCACATTTAACCCGAAATCGGATGAAGATATATATGAGAGCTATATCCAAATCTGAACCGATTTCGATAAAATTTAAAACAGCTATTCCTGTGCTCCATCTAATACCTGGTACCAAATATCACGGTTGTGGAGTGAATATTACGAATGTATGGGACTAAAATTCTAAATCGGATGAAACATATATATGATTGCTATATTTATATCTGAACCGATTTTCACTAAATTTGATATACTTGCTTCTAGGCTGAATTTGGTCCGATGTACTAAAATTCAGTCCATTTGGACTTATATCGGCCATTTGGTGCACAATTAACCCGAAATCGGATGAAGATATATATGGGAGCTATATCCAAATCTGAACCGATTTCGATAAAATTACAAACATCTATTTCTGGGCTGCATCTAATACCTGGTACCAAATATCACGGTTGTGGAGTGCATAGTAGGAATGTGAGGAACTTAAAGATCAAATCAGATGAAAGATATATATGGGAGCTATAGCTATATCTGAACCGATTTTCTCCAAATTTGATATACTTGCTTCTAGGCCGAACTCGGTTGGGTGTGCCAAAATTCAGGTAATTTGGACTGATAGTGGACATTTGGTGCACATTTAACCCGAAATCGGATGAAGATATATATGGGAGCTATATCTAAATTTGATCCGATTCTTACCAATTTCAATAGGGTTCGTCCTTGGGCCAAAAAAATATTGTTTGGAAAATTTCATCTCAATCGGATAATAAATGCGAACTGCATTTTGTTCACAAGAATACATGGACAGACGGACGGACGGACAGACAGACGGACGGACATGCATAAATCGACTCAGAAAGTGATTCTATGAAGGTTCTCAAAAGTAACTATGGGTCTATCTCGTTTCCTTCTCCATGTTACAAACAAATGCACAAAGACATAATACCCTTACCACTATGTGGTGTAGGGTATAAAAAAAGAAAATATAGCAGAAGTAAAAGTTAGAAGACAGAGAGGAAGAAGCGAAGAGGATGAAAGTGTATCCACGTTGTGATCAGCATAACTGCTGGTTCGGTTTCAGAAAAAGAGGTCATGTCGGGTAGAATTTGCTTACCCAGTAGCCTCTGTCTGACTCCATAAAGAGTTGGACCGGGACCAAAAAAGTTTGACAGACGTCTTAAACTTTTCCGGAGCGTTTCTGCATTCTAGAACATCAATAGGTTTGGATGTAACAGAATTAAAAGTCTTCAAGGGCGCCTGACTATCGACATATATAGTCAACGGTCTATTCAGTTCATTGATCGTGATGATCTAGCCGTGCTGCTGGCTGATGGTTAATAAGCTTTAAAAATTCTTTGCCGACCCAAACATAAAAATTCCTAAAATTCTAAGAAAAACAGGTCTGACATTGAGCTTTCGAAACAATAATTAATAAATAATGTCTTCATTATCTTTGAAAATAAAGTCAAATACTTATCATAGCCATTTAAGTGCAAAATATATAATCCTCATCATTGTTAGCTAATCATGAATGCGATAGCACAAGAACCATTATCTTGCCTAAGTCATTTTTAATTAGTTTCACTTGCTCAGAGTGCAAAAGCGCAAAATTAATAGATTAAATGGCAATCAAAGAAAGAACATTTTATTGGTGGAATCTCAAACATTTCTAATCAAATCACAAGAAAGAGGGAGTTATGTTCAGCCGGGTGGAGTTTTTTTTTACCTTGAGTTCTTAAAAATATTTTAATTTTTCATTTTGTGTTATAAAATAGTTTCTGAATTTAGCTCCCACTTCTGCAGGACTACAAAATAATATAACAATGTTGTTACGAATTACGTAAAATTTCACAATGGTTGACAATTAAATGTTTGGCAGAATTTTTTTGCATATCTATATTCATTCTCACTACAATTCCTGTCATCTAAATTACTTTTAAATTATTTAATAGGAGAAAGAAAGGTTTCATTAATTTATTAAATGGATTCGGACATTCAAAACATTTTGCAAAGACATCGGTTCGGTTGAAGAATTCACAAGTTGAATCCTCGGGCCGGAAATCAAGCAGGAACATACACATTCATATCAACTTATACGAAATGAGTTCCGAGTCGGCCTGAAGTCCACATTAAATTGCCTCAGAGAATTAACCACTGAATTATTCACTAGCTGAAATACATAGCTCATAATAGAATACAGAATATAGTTCTCGTACTCACTCACTCGTATTTATAATTTCGGACACTGTTGTTTCCATGCATTTGTTTGTTTGTATGTTTGAGTATGTTCATGAACATCATCGTCGTATGTCTATGATAAATGAATGTGGTTGCCATTTCTGAATTGTGATTCTCGCTACTTCCATGTACGTGTGAGGACCTATAAATACGAGCGAGTAGGTTTCCAGTCAGTTTCTCACCTTTCTTTTTGTAAAGAAGGCTGCCATCATACTTTTCCTTACTATATTGTTTAACCACTGCCTCAACATCGACTATTTCCCAATAGCCTGGAAGGTGGCACTCGCGGTACCAATTCCCCAAAGCCCAGAGCAAATATAACCCTTAGGGGGAGCTATAGACTTATATCCCTGTTATCGCCCTTGCCGAAGCTGTTTGAACACTTTCTACTGCCTCGAATCAACTGGATCTTCGAAGAGAGGAGGAACATTCGGGAAGCATAGCATATGTATGGACATCAATATCGTATTTTCATGATGAATGGACGTGGTTGCCATTTGTGAATTATGATTCTCGATACTTCCATGTACGGGCGAGGACTTATAAATACGAGCGAGTAGGTTGCCAGTCAGTTTTTGCGTTTATTTTTGTAAAGAATCCTGGTGAAGCCATCATCCTTTTCCTTACTATATTGTTTAACCACTGCCTCAACATCGGATATTTCCCAATAGCCTGGAAGGAGGCACAAGGGGTACTAATTCCCCAAAGACCAGAGCAGATACTACCCTTAGGGAAGCTGCTTGAACACATCCTACTGCGCCGAATCAACTGGATCATCGAAGAGAGGGGGATAATAAAGGACTGCCATCTCGGACATGCAGCAAAACACTATACAACCGTCCTCCGGCCAATGTGAAACGTTGGATAGTAAACTACATGTGTGGACGCCAGTTGTACGTGGAACCTATAAACAAGAAGTCAGGCATCCGTAGAATTAAACAGAGAGTTCCCCAAGTTGGTGAGATATCTGTTTAACCTCTACCTTTCTGACATTCCACGACCTCCAGACGGCATAGAGATAACGTACGCACATACACATAGAGATAATAACGGACGCTCGTGGGGTCCGAACCCATCATTGATGACATATGTGATCGGTTAAACGCTTACCTACTTCATCTAACCGCCTTTTTTTCACTGCGAGGAATATGAAAACAGCCACACTTTTCACCACATGGACTGCGAAGATGAGGCTGTCTTTGAAGATCGATGGTGTTTTAATTCCGACCACCAATTACCCCCTTAGGGGTCACATTCTATAGCCTTTTCAAGTCGTCCGGGCATATCACAGCTATCTGAGACAAGATTAGAAATAGGAACAAGGTTCTCAAATCTCTGGCCGGCAGCACTTGGGGAGCAGTTAAGGAAACATTGTTGACGTCTTACCACGCGATAGGCAGGTCTGTAATATATGCGGCTCCGGTGTGGTCCGCCAACTTCCTACCAGAATGCCGACCTTAGAACCGCAACAGGGTGCCTCCTTATGACACCTCTCGACCACCTACATGAAGGGGCGAAGGTCTTACTGGTGTGACAGCATAATAAAATGCTGTCAATGCAATACCTGCTTGGGTGTTACAGACAGAGCCATCCGAATCACAATCTGGCAGTTAGGCAACCCCCGCCCAGGCATGTAAGGAAATACCTTCGTGATAAAGAAAAAGAGGTTTAAGAGAGAGCCTCTAGATCAACAGGCCTATAAGTGGAACTGAATAGTATTCACTCTAACGAGGTCTCAGAAGTCATGGAGGGGTATAGAGTGAATACCGTACTCGGAGACAATCGCAGCTGAAGAGCGAGAACTGCCCCGACAAACCCGAGTAGTTTTGGCTCAGTTAAGGTCTGGATGGTGCAGCCGCCGCAATTCCCATTGAGCCCGGATTGACAGCGATGTGCAGAACATCTGGCCAGCATGTGGCACAGGTCCATATGACACGCTGCACCTACTTCGCTGCCCAGCCAAACCTACTTACCTAACTCCAGTATCATTGTAGACCCAACCCTACAGGTTACATCCTTTTTAAGACTGGATTTAGAAGCAGAACCCGATTGAGAATAGTCAGAACGAATACAGCAGTATGAGCTGCTACAACAACAACAACCCACACCCTAGCAGTCTTTAAACATTCGTTCCGTATGGTTTAAGACCAAAATGGGAACAATTGCAATTGGTTGGGACTTCACCAAAGCATTTGATATACAAAATGCAAATATTTAGCTTCGATTGACTAACTAACTAACTACCATGCGGTAAGAAGTTTCCTCCAGAATCGAGTCATTCGCATTAGAGTTGATGACAAACTGTGTAAGCCACGACTGGTAAAAGCGGGGGTTCCTCGGGAATCACTGATGGCACCTGTCTTGTGCAACGTGTTTGTTAGCAATATCCCCGGACCGGTCGGAGAACTTACACATTTAACGATTAACCTCGCTACAAATGCGGTTACTGCTGGAAAATCTAATATTTTCCGATATTTATTTCTATTAGGTACATTCTCAGAGCACGTGACCCAAAATTTTCAATCGAAAATATGTCTCTTAAATCAAAACTCACCTGTTGTTATTTGATCAAGGACTGACAGACTAACTGAGTATCCGACAACGCTTCTGAATGGCAAATTGAATTGGCAGCACTTTCGCAATTATAAACTGCTCTTTGTATTTTAGTAGCTATTATTTGGAATCTGATGACGTCGTAGCAGCTGGACCGCAGTAACATGCTGTTTGAATGTTTTGTTGTTGTATTTTCTTTTCGTTAGTGGTCTCGTGGTGTTGTATTTTTTCTTAATTTATTTCCACTCCACCTTCTGTAGTTTTTTTGTTTTTTTTAACATGTGAGAAAAAAATATTGTTTATTTAGTTATTTATGGTCCATTTTGTTTTGCAAAAACAACAACGCAACAAATAAATATTTGTATGAATAAAATGAACAACATCAACGCCAAACACAACAATAAGATAGGCAATCCCACGGCGACCGGTTCTATGTACCGGATTGACTCGGAGGCACATTTCTCCGACCAGGGGCCGCCAACCCAGCAAATACATGTTCGTGTTCGTCCATTTTTCTGATGTGGGAGCAACATTACCCGGAATGTTTGCTCCGTATTCTCTTGGTCCGAGCCGGGATCGAGACCAACCCCGGACCATGGTTCTGCTCCGTTTGTCGTAATCGCATCCACCACAGATCGGTTTCGGTGAGATGCAACGGATGCATGGAGTGGGTGCATTTCCGGAATTGTTCCGGCCTAAACCGGATACAGGAGTATAGCGATAGGGACTACATTGCTTCCTGCTGCGTCAATGTAGACCCCAGTGAGTCTTCATCTTCGGCGTCCTCATCGTCGTCGCAATATGAGACTCCCCCGCAATCTCCTCAACAGCAATCTACGCAGCAGCTGACGCCACACATTGCTGTTCAAGTTCCGGACAATGCATCATTTCTCCAATTTAATTGTGATGGTCTCAGAGGTAAGATCAATGAAATTGTAAGCTTTATGAGTCGGAAGAACATCAAGGTCGCAGCGATCCAGGAGACGAAGCTGAGTACCACCTGCAGGCTTCAAAGTTGTGATGGATACAACGTACTAAGGAAGGATCGCTCCAGAGGTGGAGGTGGAGGATTAGCGTTCCTATTGCACCACTCTGTCCAGTACAGACCTATCTCGCCTGAGCTTGACTCTAGTGACCCGTACATGGAATGTATGGGGGTAGCGGTCAAGTGTGGAACCGCCGAGGTAGAGGTGCTCAACGTGTACATTCCGCCGTTAAATAGCTGTGCCCCACGTTATATGCCTAATATCAGTTCACTACTGGTAGGCAATAACCGTCTGGTGCTAGGGGATTTCAATGCCCATCATGAATTATGGCATTCCGTCCTAGGTAATGACCAGAGAGGCATGGCGCTGGCTGAGCAAATCGATAGCTCCACGTTTTGCACAGTGAATGAGGACGCGCCCACCAGAATAAGGGGAGACTGCCACAGTTCTCCGGACATATCCATCGTGTCCCCAGGTCTGACGAATGACGTAACTTGGCAATCAGTCATTTCTCTAGGCTCAGACCACCTCCCCATTATTATCGCCATCAATAGACCACCCGACTTCATCGACTCTGAACGCCGCACTTTCCTTAACCACGGGAAAGCTAATTGGCAAGAATTCAGAGAGTATACCAATCGCCGCTTCAGAGAACTGCCCAACCCATCTGATGTTCAGGTAGCAGATAGGTGTTTCCGGGACATCATCAAAGCTGCAGCCGCTCGCTATATACCTGCTGGTCGAATACCTGAAATAAGACCAAATTTCCCAGCAGAGGCAGCGGGATTAGCAAACGAGCGAGATGAGCTTCGCCGTACTAACCCTAATAACCCCAGAGTCAGGGAACTTACTCTGGAGGTAAACAGGTTAGTAGGTGAGCATAAGCGGAAAAAGTGGCTAGAACATCTGAAGCATTGCAACATCGGTACCGGAACGAGTAAATTGTGGGCAACGGTTAAGTCGCTTTCGAACCCTGGAAAAAAGGACGATCGGACATCTGTCTCATTTAACGGCGTAGAAGTGACAGATCCGAAGAGGTGCGCGTGTTATTTTAACCGGCAATTTGTAGAGCACCCCGAGAGTGACAGGGCGAAGAGAAGGATACTACGCCGTGTACGATCCCTTCCAGCCGAGGAGGTACCACCACAATTTACGTTGGCAGATGTTGCACAGGTCATCAGAAGCGCAAAGTCATCCAAAGCGCTTGGTCCTGACGGAATCTCAATGGTGATGTTGAAGCAACTGGATGAACCAGGAGTTGAGTATCTGACAAAGCTTCTCAATCTGTCGTTAGCCACCCTAGTAGTTCCCGATGCCTGGAAAATGGGCAGGGTGGTCCCGCTACTGAAGCCAGGCAAGGATGCCAGCAAAAGTGATTCATACAGGCCGATATCACTTTTGTCACCAGTAGCAAAGACGCTTGAGGCTTTACTCCTCCCCAGCATAAGAGAGTGTTTCCCAGTAGCCGATCATCAACACGGATTCCGAAAATTGCATAGCACAACAACAGCTTTACACGCCATTTCCACACATGTCAGTAGAGGTCTCAACCAGAACAGGCCGTGCGATAGAACAGTTATGGTGGCACTTGATTTATCAAAAGCCTTTGATACAGTCAATCATGCCACACTGTTCGAGGACATTGAACGCACCACCCAACGCCAAGTTTGAAACGTTGGATAGTAAACTACATGTGTGGACGCCAGTCGTACGTGGAATTCAGAAACAAGAAGTCGAGCATCCGTAGAGTTAAACAGGGAGTTCCCCAAGGTGGGGTGATATCTCCGGAACTGTTTAACCTCTACCTTTCTGAAATTCCACGCCCTCCAGACGGCATAGAGATTATTACGTACACAGATGATTGTACGCTCGTGGCGTCCGGACCCATTATTGATGACATTTGCGATCGGTTGAACGCTTACCTTGTTGATCTTACCGCCTTTTTCACTGCGAGGAATATGAAGATATCCGCCACTAAGTCGACGGCCACACTTTTCACCACATGGACTGCGGAGATGGGGCTATCCTTGAATGTGCAGGTCGATGGTGCTATTATTCCGACCACCAACTACCCCAAGGTATTAGGGGTCACATTCGATAGCCTCTTTAAGTCGTCCGCGCATACCACAGCTATCTGCGACAAGATTAGAAGTAGGAACAAGGTCCTCAAGTCTCTGGCCGGCAGTACTTGGGGAGCTGATAAGGAGACCTTGTTGACCTCTTACAACGCGATAGGCCGGTCTGTGGTAAACTATGCGGCTCCAGTGTGGTCCGCTAACGTCAGTGCTACGCAGTGGAAAAATGTTCAGTCCTGCCAGAATGCCGCCCTTAGAACCGCAACAGGGTGCCTTCTCATGACACCCGTCGATCACCTACATGAGGAGGCGAAGGTCTTACCGGTGCGACAGCATAACAAAATGCTGTCAATGCAATACCTGCTTGGGTGTTATAGACAAAGCCATCCAAATCACCATCTTGTGGATAGGCAACCTCCGCCCAGGCACGTTAGGAAAGACCTTCATGATCTAGAGAGAGAGGTACAGAGGTATAAGAGAGAGCCTCTAGATCAACAGGCCTATCAAGCGGGACTGAATAGTATTCACTCTAATGCGGTCTCAGAAGCCATTGAAGGATATAGAGTGAATACTGTGCTAGGAGACCATCCCCCTCCCGTCGCAGCTGAAGAACGAGAGCTGCCCCGACAAACCCGAGTAGTCTTGGCTCAATTACGATCCGGATGGTGCAGCCGCCTAAATTCCTACTGGGCCCGGATCAACGGCGAAGTGCAGAACATCTGCCCAGCATGTGGCACAGGCCCACATGACACGCTGCATTTATTTCGCTGCCCAGCCAAGCCTACTCACCTAACTCCAGTCTCGTTATGGACTCAACCCACACAGGTTGCATCCTTTTTGAGACTGGACTTAGAGGCAGAACCGGATTGAACTGAGTTAGAAAATGGAAACCAAACGAACACATATGTATGAGCTGCTACAACAACAACAACAACAACAACAATAAGATAGAAAAACAAACTTAAATCCGCTTGGGCATCAGATGAAAATCTCAAGAAAGAAAAAGAGGCAGAGAGTAAGTAAATGAGTGCGATGTGACCGAGATCAAGAGAAGTGAAGAAAAAAAAAACTGATTTGAATCTTTTTCAGAAACTATACCCGCACTCTTATCTGGATACTTTGGTGAACTGAAAGGCAAGTCGACGCAACAATTTAGAAATGTGCTATGCACCCAGCAAACATACAATTTGTTATAAAAAAATTTAATTGGAATAGTACTTTGTTCCTTCATAGGCATCTCTAACGTCCCCTCGAATCTCATAGTCAAATATCTGACCGAAGTGTGATAAAAAATATTCCGATTGACGCATTTTAAAACGAGTTGACAAATATTGTCGATCATTGAAACTGCTCTAAGTTTGGTAAGAGTATTTGGATGATGGATTTTTGGGTGAAATCGGAAACTGACTTTGAGATTTTTTGTGCGCCCAGCTTGCCTTCGGGAAACATAGCTGTTTGCTGTTGGACCCGTTTACAGGTTGCGGAAAGAAAGCTCAGTAAATATACTATATTGCTGCGAATTAAATAAGCAGTCGCGGACATTCGGCAAATCTTGGGTTAAAAGTGTTACAAGTTTGAAGACGAGCTACCGACTATATTGTAACTGAGCTTCGTTGATAACTGGTTGCCTCAACCAATACCATGATGCGAAGTCTAGGGGATTTTAGTGTCCGCCATGAGTTGTAGCATTCCATCCTAGGTAATAACCAGAGGGGATCAGCGTTGGGAAACGAGGATACACCAATCCGAATAAGAGGAGAGCGTCACAGACATATCCATACTGTGACCCGGTCTGATAAATTACGTGGCTTAGCAACCCAGAATTTTTCTTGCGTTTCGCGATAATCGTCTCCAGAAGCAGATAGCCAGATTTCATAATCTCTGAACGCTGTCAAGCTCACAGGCCAAAATTCAGAGATTTTACCAAGCTTCGCTTTAGTGAAATGACCATCCTTTGTAATGTTCGGATACAGAATGGATTTTCCGGGGCATCATCAAAGCTGCAGCCGCTCGCTATATCTCTGCTGGTCGAATACCCAAAATAAGACCTAATTTTCCAGTAGAGGCAGCGGGACTAGCGAATGAACATTAAGAGTTCTGAAGTGCCAGTGGGAGTAGCGAATGAGAGCCCTACTGATCCCAGAGGCAGTGACAATGTAACGGTGACTGATGAAAAGTGGTGCGCTGGCCACATGGGAATTGAGTATCTTACTAAAGTAATTAACCTGTCGTTAGCCACCCACATCGTACCCGGAGTGTAACAAATGGGCAGGATGGTCCCACTACTTAAGCCAGACAAAGATGTCACCAAAGGCGACTCATACAGATCAATTTCGCTTTTATCGACCGTATCAAAGACTCTCTCCAGTGGCCAACCATCAGCACGGATCCGGTCAACAACATAGTACCACAACAGCATTACACGCCATTCCCACAACATAATGTTTGAGGGCGTGGCCAAGTTTGAAACGTTGGATAATCAACTATATGTGTGAACGCCAGTCGTAAGTGGAATTCCGGAACAAGAAGTCTAATCCTCGTACAGAGAGATCCCCAAAGTTGGGTAATATCACCGACACTGTTTAACCTCTAACTTTCCGGAATTCCGCGCCCAACAGACGCCATTGAGATCGTAACCTATGCGGATGATTGTAGGATCATGGCGTTGGGTCCTGTCGCTGATAACATATATGTTAAGGTGAACACCTATTTCGTCAGCATAGCTATATGCCTTCATGTGGGCCATCGTAACCATTGGTGGATAGAACTCCCCACCAATACGTTTCAGGAACGACCTGCATAATCTAGCGAGAGAGCTCCAATGATCCAAAGAGAGCACCTGGATCAGGAAGCCTATCAGGCAGGTCTGAATAGCGTTAATACTGATGCAGTCGCCAATGTAGTCCAACCCCAATCTGAAGCAGCCGAATATCGTCGGTTGTCTAGACAAACTTTCAGGAGGGTGTAGACGTCTCAATTCACGGGAAGAAAAGGCTATAGTTAAGTATATCCCCAAAAAGGCAGCGTCAAGAAGAAACCTAAACGTCAGCATCACTTGTTTCAAACAGAGCAAACGGAGCTCTCAAGAGCACTTCCCAAGCTGCATTGAAGATGATGCTAAACTTCCCGCTATTGGATCTTTTGTCAATGTTTCAAGCAACAAGGATTGTGCTGACAAGCGGGAGGAAGGCACGAATCCTGTACAACCCAATAAGACTAAATATTTTAGGTGAATGTGGTTACATGTCCACCTTTTTCGACTTCAATTGCATTGACGTAACAATACCTTATAGGGACGCTTGGGCTGATGGCTAAGCTTCTCTGAACGGTCTGGCTATTTAAACAGACAAATCCAAGATAGATAAAGACACCATATTCTGCCCTTATCAATTTATTAGATGCTCATTTAGTCTTGATGCTGGGTTTTATTCAGGCGGAGATTCTTGTAATCAAGGTGGCAGCAAAAATAGTAAGACAACTATGCGATAACAAGAGTGACTATATATATCAAGTCAAGTGCGAATAAATCGAAAGCCCCACTAGATATACGTGAATTCACTAAGCTTTGTTGGGTTCCATGACATAGCAACATGGTGGCTATTGAAATCGTTGATGAATTAGCTCACAGTCAGACCACCGTAAAGCTATAATGCCATCTGCTTACAAAAGTCTCTCACTGATGATATAGAAGGTGTTACTTCGAACCCGGTTGCAAGTTTTCGAAGGTCTTCTATTACTTAGCACGACTAATCGAAGAATCGCGGTAGGCCTACTAACTAGCTACTGCAGTATCAAATATCTGACCTCTAAATGGTATAACAGTGCTCCTGACTAATATAGACTATATGATGAGGAATAAGATATAACGACTTACTGTCCTTCTTCCCAGACATAGATCCCATTATTAAGTTTGTCATTCCGTTTCTAACACCTCTTCTTGATCAGCATAAAATTCTTTGTCGATTTAGCGATGTCCGTTCGTCTATGGAAATCACTCTAGCTTCCGAATGAAATGAAGTAGGTAGGTTTACTCAATTCTATATTATGTTTTCAGGACTTTTGGTATTGAAAATGGGCCATGTGGGTCCACGTTTTGGTATAGCCCCCATATGACGACACCCCCGATATTCTGTAGTTTGATGATTTTAGCGATATTATTCACCGGAATTGTCTCAAATTTGGGATTTGAAGTTCGTAATGGACAGCCTATTACAGAAAATTGTCTATGCAGGTCCACGTCTTCGTATAGCACCCAAAAAAAATATTACAGCCTAAGACTGAAAATAGTCGGTACCGTTCACGTTTTGGTTTAGCCCCCATATCATAGTACCTCCCTATATTCGGTATTTTGATGATTTTAGCGACATTTTTCACGGAATTTTGTTTTCCAAGTTTCGCATTTGAATAATGTAATGGCTTATGACAAAAGATGCCTATGCAGGTCCACGTCGTCGTTTAGACCCTATATATAACGGCTACATTCGTTATTTTTAAGATTTTAATAGAATATTTAACAGATTTTATTTTTTTTTTTTAAGTTGCCAAATTCGTTCAAAGTTCAGCCCGGCCGAACTTACAGCTTTTCAAGATTGTTACTTCTATATCTTCCCTCTATCTTATCTCCAATTCTTATTCGGAGAGTTTTTACCAGATCATGATTTGGACATTTTGACATATGGCTAGCAGTTGTAAATTCTCAAAATGTTTTCTGGGTAAAATGTTGATATGTTTCGCCCAAATGTGAACAGCTCGGACAACACAAACGCTTTTGATATTCTTTAAAATCTGTTGTTGTTGCGGTTGCTTTATGGAGGCACACATTGATTTGGGCAAATTTAAAACTATACATTTTTTTTTATTGTTTAAGATTGAATCCGAATGTGGAGCATATAAGAGGGAGAGCGAGAGGGAGAGAGAGAGAGATACACATGTATTTTTGAGAAGGCGGGTAATGAAAACCCCCACTTGATTTCTTACAAATATTGTATTTGTTGTTGTTCTTGTTCTTAAACAATTGACGTTACTGGTGTTGTTGTTGTTGTTCATATAAGGAGGAGATTTGGTGGTTTTTTGTTAGGACTTAATTATTTGTTATTCTGATCACATATACACACACAAACACTTATTCAATGGCTATTGCAAGAGATTTGACTTAATTTCAAATAGATTACAGAAACAAATATTGCCATAATTTTTTCTTTTTTTTGTTGTTGTTGTTGTTATATTTCTTCATTAACACATTGCACGAATGAACGAATAGGAGGAGGAGGATGATGACAAATATAAACACTGTCGGAAATGGAATAGATGGATGGTGGACCAGAGTCCAATGAAGTTGTTTTTTTTTTTTTAATTCACTTTTTTCGCGCAGTAATTATCATTTAATTAACACCCAGCTCCAACCAATGGAAAGTACCTTCTTTTGTGATTGCACACACGGCAACAAGGATAGGAGTGAGTGGGGAAATCAGCCGATAGCAATGGGGAAAAGAAATACATGAAATATTCTCAAATATCTTTTAGAGACTCACAAAATCACAATTTGCTTGAACATGTTCTGTTTGAACCGATGCATGTGTGTGACAAACGTGCATTTGTTGCTTATTATAAAAGCAAATACATTTCGACATTTCCAATAGAAAAAATGCACCGAGTCGATACAAAACTTATGTTTTTACTCCTTCGTCGTCATTGTCGTTTTTTTTTTTTGCTTTTTGGGATACACTAATTATGCGAACTTCAAATTGATTTGAATTTTGACCACAATATCATTTTATTTTATTACAAACATTTAATCGAATAGATCTTTCTCCGTCTGCTTTTTTATTCACTTTTTGGTCATATTGGTTTTTATGTTCCTTTAAATTTATAAACAATAAAAAAATAACAAATACGCCAGCCTGCGAAACGTTCAGCTGCGCTGCTGCCTTTTGTTTTTGACCGACCACTAGGGATACGTAAGTCGACTTTTGGCGTTGAATACCCCAAAAAGTCAATGTTGATTTGTGTTTGTGGTGAAAATCGCAAAGGAGACTTATCGTAATCGGGTTTTAACTTGGAGATTATCGATTTTTTGTCGACTTTTCACTTTAAGACACAAGCCAAATATTAGCTGTGTTCCAAATATTAGTGTGCTACTATTTTGTACCATATTTACAAGTTTGACTTGAAAATCACCATTTTGTTTAATCCTTTTTGAGATGCAACTGTCAAACCGATTTTGGAATTGAAAATTTTGAATGAAAATTTATTGAAATTTGTAAAAAATATTGAAAAATGCATAACAATCTCCGATTTGCGTCGCATAAGAAAACATTATTTTTGACAAAACATTTTAAAATGTTTGATATATCAATGTTCGCAAGCGTTGATGAAAAATTGTAAAATCGTATGATTACATGTGATTACCTTTGTAATCGTACCATGCAAAAAACTATAAAGGTGAGAATACATAAAACACCTCTTTGAATGGCTTAAGTCATTCGTTGGTGAGAATACATAAAACGCCTCTTTGAATGGCTTAAGTCATTGGTTGGCTTCTTCATAAAAGAACAAAGGAGCTAACCCTATGCTCCTTTGTTCTTTTATAAATAATTAATTAATAATTGAACTAAGTCAACCTAAAATTTTTCTATGATGATTAATCTGGACTTAAAATTGAATGTGAATGCGCTGTAAGTCTTGGTGCAAACATTAGTAATTTCATGCAAATAGTTTAGTTTTAGTAAGCGTAGCCTCCCCTTCTTCGTCTAATGATGCATAAGTTTATGATAATTTCATACAATTTATTTAATATATCATTCGTGTGATTAACCGAACTTACCGAAGATTCACACCACTGCTTTAATTTCTTCATCCACGACCATAATAACATCATTCGTGTACTCGACTTGGTGCAACACGTCGACCGATTACAATTGATTTTAGTACGACCGACAAATATTAAAGGCAAAATGACAGTCAGCGCCATCTGTTTGTCACGAATTTCCTAAGGAAATTGTTAATTGTCCTATTTCAGAACCTACAAGAATGAAAAAAAATGTTATCACGATAACCGATATTTTCTTTATCAGCAGAATAAGTAGATTCTGGCAGGTTTTTGAACAGAGGAAATATCAAAGGCATAATCCATTTCACTACCTATTCACACTGAAGTTCACACAATGATTGATCGTCATTTTAAAGAAATATCGTAATAATGCGTAATAATCTTACCGTATATAACAAATATCGTAACTGTGTATTTGTAAACTATAGCTCATTTAAAGTACTTCTAAATTTATGAAATCCACTCGATCTCAAATGCCAATTCCGATGAACGCAGAATACAGGTAGATGAATCAAAGCTCGGGAACATTAATATGTAAAAAAATGTAAATGTTTCTTCAGGTTTAGATAGTGGAATTGTATATGTTTTCCAATACGACGCAGATCATAGGTTGTTATTATATGTATTTTTAAAATATTTTACAAATTTGAAAAATTTTCCATTCAAAAATTTTAATTCCAAAATTGGTTTGACAGATTGGTTGTTCCAGCAGCTGTGTCGATGTGACTACCTGTATTCTTCTACCATGCCAATTCCATAGCACATACGTCAAATAATATCCACTAGATTTTTGAATACGATTACATGCTATACGCTATGTAATTGACATTTGAAATCCATCTCTACATGTTCTGTAATTTCCATCTCTGATTTCTGTGTATGCAATGGGTTTATAAATGTAAACTTTGACAATGAGAAATGAAATGAAATTTTGAATAAATTTTACTGTCCTAATTCTACCATGATTATCACCAATAATGAAGTTTACAATTTATATTTAATTAAAGTATAATTTCCTTTCTTTTCTACATCCATATTATTTATATTTTGAATAATTTTTCTATTTTATCTAAAGATTTTATCCACGTTTACGTTAGAAGATTCTTGCTCTGCAGGGTCTGGAATAGAGGAACACAAATTAATTTGGCATATTAAGCCAGGCAAAAAAAAAATATATCATTCAATAAAATTTTATGTCGATTTAGCGATGTCCGTCCGTGGAAATCACTCTAGCTTCCGAACAAAATGAAGTAGGTTGATAAAATTTTACTCAAATGTGTATTATGTCTGCAGGACTTTTGGTATTGAAAATGCGTAGTACCTCCCTTTTTTCGGTACTTTGGTAATTTAAGCGACAGTATTCAGCGTAAATGTTTCAAATTTGGTATGGAAGTTCGTAATGGGTGCTACAGCCTATGACAGAAAATTGTCTGTGCACGTCCAAATCTTCGTTTAGCCCCAATGTAACGGTACCTCCATACATTCGGTATTTTGATAATTTTACCCACCTTATTCACCGAATTTTTATTCAAGTTTCGCATTTCAATATTTTAATGATTTTTGACAAAAGTTGCCTATACAGGTCCACATCATCGTATAGACCCTAATACAACGGCTACATTCGGTATTTTTAAGATATTAACAGAATTGCCAAAGTCATTCCAAATGGTGAGGGTATTCAGAGATCGGCCGGGCCGAAGTTACATCTTTTTTACTTGTTTATATCAAAATTTTATATTTCCACTACTGAGGCTATGCCCGTTTCCTGTCAAATTTGCAAGTACTTTTCATTTATTCAATACTTTCCCTCAATTTTTTAAAATCATTTAAACAGCGGGAAAAACGAATCAACTGCCTGGATTTTCTTTCAAAAATATGATCTAAACAGCTCTATCTTTCAATTCCATGGCATAAATGGCAAATAGCTTCAATGGCCATCTCGGAATTTACGCGTCTTCCAATCATTGATTTTGAAAATATTAAGTTTTTATTTTTTAAAACAATAAAGACATACAGAAAATTGGTAGAAGTCGGGAACACATAGAAAAGATTGTAATCAGCTGGTAGCTCTATCTAACGTTTTTATTGCACCATGTAATAAATAATTGCAGTGCAGCCTTTTTGTTTTAAGATATTTTGATGGTGCATGGTACAATAAAACTACAGAAATGGAGCCATGATGCTATGCCCGACTACTATTAGCAATATTTAAAAATACATGCAACAAGTTGTTTTCTTTTATTTGATATTTTCCTCATTTTTAAAATGACCTGGATTTTCTTTCAAAAATATGATCCAAACTGCTCAATTTTTCACTTCCATGGAAAAACTGGTTAATATCCTTAATGTGCGCCCTGTAAAGTACTTTTCTTCCAAATTTTGATAATTAAAAAATATTGTTTTCGTTTTTTTCAAAACAATAAATACATATACAAAATTGTCAAAAGTCGTGCGCACTTAGAAAAAAATGTAATCATCTGGTAGCTCTACCTTACTTTTTTATTGTACTAACCATGGTAAATATTGGTCTGTTCCAGAACCTGCAGGAATGTACTAGTTCTGTTATTTTTTTCGATATCATAAAGGGAAAATCGGTTATCGCAGTAAAAACTTTTACATTTTTGCAGTTCTGGAACAGACCAATATGGTCTGTTATTACTAAAGTGGCGTTAGCATTGGAACCTGTCGCCGCCTGAATTGGTTCATTCATAAAAGAATTCGAATAGCAATGGGAACATGGTATTAAGAATTCGCAGAAAGAGCAATGTTATTCAAACGCTCGTGTGAACATGTCATTATTCCTTATTTTTTTATCGAAAAAATCAAAATCGAAACATCGATTACTCGATACATTTTTGACTAGTCAAAAATCCCAATAAGACAGAAGAAGAAGAAGAAGCGAAAATTTTATTTTTCATACGCGTAAATAAGTGAATCGAATTGGATGGGAAAATACCTTTTTTCCCAGCGTTAAAATAGTAAATATATGGAAAATAAACACAAATGAATGCAATTCCAATGTAATGTAATCAAAATAAAGTGAAATATTTGGAAATTATCTGCTAATAAAGCAAGTTCGAAGAGAACAAAAAAAAAAGTGATTCAAGTCTAGCAAGAAGAAGAGAAAAAGAAAAAAGAACTGCGGCTCCATCCGAAGCAAGTGCAAGAAAAAAAAAAACAAACAAAAAACCAAAGTATGTCTTTTGTACGTACGGTTGGATCGGGCCCTGCTACCGGAGGAAATGCGGAATCCGTGCAAAAGTTTGTGGAAGCTTTGAGGGCTGACTTTAAAACACTATCATTGGAGACCAAAAAGAAATATCCACAAATCAAGGAGGTAAATGTGTTCCAATGGAATCTTGTGTTTTTTGGGAAATAATTTGTGGTGTAACATTAACGATGGGTGGTGTGGGACATAAGCATATATCCTTATGTTCTAATATGGTTTCCACTATGTATGTGCTTCATTATAACGTGGCTATTTCCCCCTACTCCCTTGAAGTCATGTTGTCGTTCTTTGGGTGGGGGTTGTAATCAATTAGGGTTGTTAATGTCTTGGTTTTTCATTCACAAAAACTAAAAGAAATTGAAGTGGTTGACAGGTGGGTGGGAAACTATTCCTAAGAACCAAAAAAAAAAAAAAAAAAAAACAGGTAACATGACATATGTGCCGGATTAGGTATAGCATTAAATAAACGACGAAATCAATTGCAGAATGTTTTAAAAACAAGTTTTTTCTTAAATCGATGCATTTGAAGGGGCTTCATTGGAGAATACTGACGATTCATAGTTTCCGGGGTACCTATTACAATTAAAAAAGTTAAACACCTTAGCTGAGGAAAGCTTCAGGAAGTATTCTCAAGTTATTCGTTAAACTAGTTCAGCTGTCTTTGTTCAAGAAAGTCTTATATTTAAGAATTGAATTGAATTGAATGAAGAATATGACAAAATCTAATAATAGTAGAATTACGTGTAAACATGTCCTCCTGCGTTAATGTACGGCAGCCGTATCAGGTGCATTCACTTGCAATTCTGTATCAGTATAGGTTAAGATTTCGATATACCCCCATGTTAATAAAATCAATGATTCGAAAATTCAATAATTTTCAGAAATGTCTGCATTTTGATTTTTCTAAACAAATTCTGTTGCAAAAAGGAGAAAACAGGTCCAGGGTTTGGACCCACATTTGAACGAATTTTCAACGATATTTCTTTGAATTGATATTTGTATACACAATTGATTTGTAGGAAGTAGTGCAGGACATAGCTGAGCACTCGGACAAATTTGCTGAATTTGGAGTCTGAGTCGAAAAAAATCGACATAGACTCCGGGTAGTAACATTTTTTCCTATAGGGTTTCCCATTTTTATACCCTACAACACCATGGATTGGGGTATTAAAAGTTTGAAGATGATGAAACTTTGGAGAATTTTCTCTGCCAATGACCTGCCAGACCTAAATGAGATCAATGTAAATGAAATAAAAGAGTTAAGGAATTTTGTTAAGGCGATCCTTCATTCCAGTCCAAAGGCTACAGAAACTTTACCGCAAATTATGGTGTTAAAGGGTATAAAATGTTCGGCCCAATCAATTGTAGCTTTTGCTCACTTTTTTTGTTAGCGTTGAAATTTCACTCAAGTCATAATAAGCAGAAGATATCTTGATTGAAGATCCACTATTTGAAATTGAAACGGTAGCTTCCAAATTCTTGATATGTTGAAACTTGTATATTTTGCATATTTACAGGACTAACGAGTTAAGTTAGGATAACTTAGTCAAATCGATGGGGAAGATATAAAATTAGTTTTTCAGAACAAATATTAATTTGTTTTTAGAGTCCTGCAGGGGTCGAAAGCTGATCAAAAATGAGACGGCTCCGCAACCCTGGTGGATATATAAGGTCGGAGAGCAAACCAATCTGAACCCATTCCACACCAGCTGATATTGGAATTAGCAACCAATGAATCAGTTGGTCTTAATTTCGAAACATAGAACAGTCTCATCGATCCGTAGATCAATCGACAGGGAAGTATCTCGAGCTAGTTCGTCAGCCACTTCATTCTCCACTATATTACTATGTTCTAGAATTCATGTATTTCAAAAGGGACTTTCTTGCTTTCAAGAATGACACATTTGATTTAATGTCCTGGTCCTTCGATATAACATAGTTCTCTTATCATTTTGGCTGCCTTCTAGATTGCAAGAATCTCCGCCTGTACATCGCTATAATTGTCATTAAGTTTATATGAGCATTTAAATATTAGATTTGGACAGCACCGGTGCCTTTATCCAACTTGAAACCATCTGTTTATATGGCCACACTAACCACAGGTTGTTCACCACCAAACCAAGGGTATCTTTTCGGTATCGTTACGTTAACGAAATTGAAGTCGATTTAGTGTAACTCCATCCAGTATTGGCAACGAAAATTGAACTATTTTGGAAGTGTTTGGGTAATGCGTTCTTTGGGAATATATGTCACTGTTACCTTTACTTCCCACAGACTGGGTACGAAGCACAACCTAAGACAAGCCTAAAAAATATCTCCTGTCCTTCTTCTACCTTAATTGCCACCATCATTGGGAACATGTGTCTCTCGGTGTTTACCGACGAATTGGTGTTGGGCCCGATAGGGTTACTCGGGTCGACTTTCCCGGGAGTCAACCCCTGACTAGAGGTCGAGGCATAACCTTGTTATTTGTATCCCACACTTCATCGTTATTTGAAGGGATTGAGGTCGACCATAGCAAAGCCTCTGTACCATGGCAATGACTCGGTAACTAAACCTGATTCGCAGTCGGTACCCTGGCTGCAAACCCGTAACAATGATGGATACGTTACGGGCCACTCCAGCGAAAGGGGTCCTCCTTATGTGGGGGGTAGCACAGAGTACCACTGATTCGCTCTTCAGTCTAAGAATCATTGGCACTCGGTATTTATGTCGAGACTCTCCACCCGCAGCCTTATCTAGTGGGCTTTCCACTATCCGTAACCTGTGGACGTGACCGATAGCAATCATCTATTCTCCCCGAAGGCGGAGAACGTCCCATCAGGTTTATTTGCTTTTTTGAGAGTATTGGACCAGTTACTTTTCAGACCAGAATCAGGTGCAGCCAGTGGAGAACTCCTAATTACATATGTGTTCATGATTTGTACATCTATTCAAATTAAACATGTCGGAATGAAATGAGATTATAATGTCTCCTTCAAAGGTTAGTAAGTTTTTATACCCTACACCACATAGTGGTAAGGGTATAATGTCTTTGTGCATTTGTTTGTAACATGGTGAAGAAAGCGAGATAGACCCATAGTTACTCTGGAGTATCTTCATAAAACCACTTTCTGAGTCTACTTATGCATGTCAGTCCGTCTGCCAATGTATTTTTGTGAACAAAATGCAGGTCGCACTTATGCGATAGAGCTGAAATTTTCCAAACAATATTTGTTTGAACCAAGGACGAACTCTTTTGAAATTGGTGATAATCGTATAAAATTTAGATATTGATTAGATTGTGCATCAAACGGCCAATATAAGTCTAAATGACCGGAATTTTCGTACATCCACCCGAATTCTGTCTAGAAGCAAGTACATCAAATTTGGTGAAAATCGGTTCAGATATAGCTATAGCTCCCATATATATGTTTCATCCGATTTGGGTTCTAAAGTCCTTACAAGCGTAATATGCATTTCACAACAATGATATTTGGTGCTAGATATCATATACAGCTCTGAAATAAGTGTATCAAATTTTGTCAAGATCGGTTCAGATTTGGATATAGCAACCATATATATCCTCAACCGATTTCGGGTTAATTGTGCACCAAATAGCCAATATTAGTCCAAATGACCTTAATTTTGGCATATGGGACCAAATTCAGTCTAGAAGCAAGTACATCAAATTTGGTGAAAATCGGTTCAGGTATAGCTATAGCTCCCATATGTATGTTTCATCCGATTTGATGTTTAAATCCCTAACATTTGTAATATGCATTCGGAAACAAAGTTATTTGGAATCAGATATCTTATAGAGCTCGGAAATACATCTGCAAAATTTTTATCAAGATCGGTTCAGGTTTGGAGATATCTCCCATATATATCCCTAATCCGATTTCAGGTTTTTTGTGCAAATAATGGTTAATATCAGCCCAAACGGAGTGAACCATTACCATTTACGTTACGTTACCATTTTGTGGAACTCGGCTCCGATGTATATTTTTATACCCTCCACCATAGTATGGAGGGTATATTAAGTTTGTCATTCCGTTTGTAATACCTCGAAATATACATTTTAGACCCCACAAAGTATATATATATATAAAATTCTATGTCGATTTAGCGATGTCCGTCCGCCTGACCGTCTGTGAAAATCACTCTAGCTTCCCAACGAAATCAAATGTGTATTATATCTGCAGGACTTTTGGTATTTGGTCATATACGTCCACGTTTTGGTATAGCCCCATATAATAGTACCTCCCTTTTTCGGTGGTGATTTAAGCGACATTATTCGACGGAAATGTTTCAAATTGGGTATTTTAAGTTCGTAATGGATAGCACAGCCTAAGACAGAAAATTCTCTGTGCAGGTCCACGTCTTCGTATAGCCCCAATATAACGGTACCTCCCGTTATGATGACTTTTGCGACATTGTTCACCGGAATTGTTTCAAATTTAGTATTTGAAGTTCGTAATGGATAGTACAGCCTATGACAGAAAATTGTCTGTGCTGGTCTTCGTATAGCCCCCATATAACGGTACCCCCGATATTCGGTACTTTGATGACTTTAGCGACATTATTCACCGGAATTGTTTCAAATTTGGTATTTGAAGTTCGTAATAGATACTACAGCCTATGACAGAAAATTGTCTGTGCAGGTCCACGTCTTCGTATAACCCCCATATAACAATACCTCCCAATATTCGGTATTTTGATGATTTTAGCGACATTATTCACCGATTTTTTTCCAGTTTCGCATTTGAATATTGTAATAGCTTATGACAAAAGTTGCATATGCAGGTCCAAGTCGTCGTATATACATTCGGTGTTTTTAAGCTTTTAACGAATTTTATTTTTATGAAAATTGCCAAATTCGTTCGAAATGGTGGAGGGTATTCAAAGTTCGGCCCGGCCGTACTTACAGCCTTTTTACTTTTTTTGTGGTACTATTCCACATTTGTCAAATTTTATACAATAGTTGTCAATTATTTCAGATACTCCATCATCATAAAATTGGGAAAGAATTGTCTTGCCATACATTTAGAATCTTTTGTATTTCATGTTGCATATTACATATTTCTTTTGTCCAAACTAACCTGTTAATCGATTTCAATTTTTTTTCTCATTACAACTTATAAATATCCTACGGCTTTTTATACAACCGACATCAACAAAATCCCTGTAGAGAAAAAAAAAGTTGATTTGCTATTTACAAAAATAAAATCTTGGTTATTCTTCTTCCCTTCTTCGGTAATCTAAGCATGCCACAACATAATAACCACAATATGTTTTGTTATGCGGCAGCTTATAAATAAATCAAACAGGGGGCAAAAACTTGACAGGGACCATACATCCACAAACACAACCCCAACCACACATTCACAAATATTTGTTGTGATGGCATTTGAGGCTGGTCTCTCGGTCGTTCGGTCGTCCTTTCATTTAAGCCGTTAAGCTATTGACATTATTAGTATTTTATGCTACATCCTTTTCTTTTCTTTCTCTTTTTGTAGTCATGTGAAGAGGCCATTTCCAAACTCTCAACAGCCGGCAGCAATCAACAACAATCAGTCTACTATACAGTCAATCAGATACTATATCCATTGGTACAAGGATGCGAAACGAAGGATTTGAAAATTATCAAAGTGAGTCATAGTTGGATACATAATCCATGTCATATTTCATAATTTTTATACCAATTTCAAGAGTTTTCATTCTTTTTTCTGGTCAAGCATTTTTTGAATTCAATTGCCTTGCTCTCTTATCTAATCGTTTTCTTGTTGTTGCATTTCTTTCCATGTGTTTGCCCCAGTTTTGTTTGGGCATGATGCAGCGTCTTATCACCCAGCAGGTGGTTGATCAAAAAGGTGCCCGCTACATAACCGACGCCCTCTGGATGTTAATGGAACACAACATTGAAGAAGTTAAAGTTTTACAAACCATTACCCTGCTATTGACCACCAATACGGTGGTGCACGGTGACACTTTGGCAAAGTCGTTGGTGTTGTGCTTTCGTTTACATTATACAAAAAATTCAACCATTGTCAATACAGCAGGTGCCACAATACGTCAACTGGTATCGTTGGTATTCGAACGAGTCTATTTGGAAAAAGATTCACTAACCAGTCTCCAGCAACGGGATGCATCGGGAAATGTGGTGGAAATTGATGCCACCGATACCAGTATCACAAGTGCTGGCGGTAATAGTGGCAGTGGTGCCGGGAGCGGGGTCTCAAGCTTATCATCATCAGGCGGCCCCAGTGAAATGTCAACATTTGCCTCAGATGCGTTTCTATTGTTTCAGGTATGTGTTTTTTTTTTTTGCCATAGAGAATGACGAAATGTGTAGTTTCTTATCAGTTCTACCCTATAGTTGTTAATTGTTAATCTGTGAAGGAGAAGGGAGAAATGTGGTTTTTCCAAGAATGCTACTTATCACTGACATTTTCAATTTGATTTGAAAATGTTGATAATAATTTAACGTTTACAAAGTTTAGATACCATTTGAACTTTTACTGCAGAGAATAAGTCTATGATTGATTTATGATTTTTAATTGTTCGGGTGTTAAGATTCTTTACATAGGAATGTTAAAACTAGAACTAACATCGTAATGTAATATTTCAGCAATTCGAATGTAAATACCGGTATTTTTCAAATTATTTAAAAAATTATAATAAATTCCAAAAACACCTAAAGTAAAAAAGAAAAGTGATGCAAAAGAGTTAGGAGATGGGAGGAAAAAAAATAAATAATTATATAAATAAAATCTGTTAAAAATTCTGTTAAAATCTTAAAAATACCGAATGTAGCCGTTATGTTAGGGTTTATACGACGAGTTAGACCTGCATAGGCAACTTTTGAATAATAATTTCGTTGAATAATGTGCTAGAATCATCAAAATATCAAATATGGGGAGGTACCATTATGTGGGGGCTATACCAAAACGTGGAGCTGCACAGACAATTTTCTAACATACGCTGTAGTATCCCTTACGAACTTCAAATACCAAATTTGAAACAATTCCGGTGAATAGTTTATCTAAAATCATCAAAATATCGAATATCGGAAGGTACCATTAAATGGGGGCTATACGAAGACGTGAACCTGCACAGACAATTTTCTGTCTTAGGCTGTAGTATCCATTACAAACTTCAATTACCAAATTTGAAAATAATCCGGTGAATAATGTCGCTTAAATCACCAAAATACCGAAAAAGGGAGGTACCTTTATATGGGAGCTGTACCAAAACGTGGACCTACATAGCCCATTTTCAATACCAAAAGTCCAGCAGACATAATATACATTTGAGTAAAATTTTATCAAACTACTTCATTTCGTTCGGAAGCTAGAGTGATTTCCACAGACGGACGGACATCGCTAAATCGACATAGAATTTTATGCTGATCAAGAATATATGTACATTATGGGGTCTAAAATGTATATTTCGAGGTGTTACAAATGGAATGACAAACTTAATATACCCTCCATACTATGATTTCCTCAGACGGACGGACATCGCTAAATCGACATAGAATTTTATGCTGATCAGGAATATATATACATTATGGGGTCTAAAATGTATATTTCGAGGTGTTACAAATGGAATGACAAACTTAATATACCCTCCATGCTATGGTGGAGGGTATAAAAATATGGAAAACGCCAATTTAACTTTGACAGTTTCCTCGATATAGAGAAGGGACTTTTAACAATGTGAAGCTGGAGTTGATCCATAATGCTATCTATGTCGCTGATATTTCCTCTATACCGATTAAATGGATTTGTAGAATGTTAAAAAGCAGGATAATCAATTCGTGCTTGGAAGAGAGTTCCATTAGGAAAACTGTCAGCAGGAAGGCGTTCTCTTACCCCTGCTTTGGCTTCTGGCGATTAACGAATTACTTGTGAGCTGACCTAATGCAAGATGCACCAGTACAGTTGTTTGGTTGAGCATTTGACAATGGTCTGTGGGTAAACCCTGCATAGACAACTACTATTCACTAGGAAACTCAAAATACTTCAATTTTCGCTACCAGCAGCGTTAAAAATGGAGCAAGAACATAGAGGAGCGTTCTAAAAAGGCTCTCGTTGCATTCTATTCGGGCAGAAACGCCGTAGGGAAGAGCTGGGGCTTAGGCCATAAGTCGTATACTGGTCTTACCAGTTCTGACATATGTTTGCCTCGTCGGGTGGCATGCGATTAAATCCAGGACACTCTTGTTCAAATTAAGCACAGAACGTGTAGAGCTTTGCGTAATTACTGAGAAACGGAGGCGAACCCCCTCTGGACGGTCTGGTCAAATATACAGACTGCTCCAAGATGGATGAAGGCACCGGTAATGGCATATTCCGGCAATCCATTCATGCAAACATAATGTCAATTCTAGCGTTTTTCAGGCGGAGATTCTTGCAATCAAGAAATCAGTCGAAATAGTAAGAGAACCAGTGACCCCGAGTATACCCTAACGCGTTATGAGCGACCAATAAATAACAATTATTAGCACACCATGTGTTGTTAGAGCGGGACAACAGTTTTTTACAAAATGCGAGCGTAGTCTAAAAATAGGGTCATGAGCAAATTTTTCATTAATGGTGTGGGCCAGTTCTCGAACGTCTTAGTTTGAGAAAATTCAGACTTGATCAGATGCTTTGGCTTCTTAAGTGCTTTATCACGAGATCTTCTCGAAGTCAGGATCGCAGAACTTCACATATCCTTCTTTACCTTGAAATAGGTTTTTTAAAGCAGATTCGACTTCGAGATTCGACTTTCTGCAGAGACTTCAGTGTTTGTACGGTTTCCGGGTACCGGTACTAGTTTTTCCTTCTCTTTACCCTTCCAATCAGAACATTCTGTCTCGAGAGAGGGGACTGACCGTCTTGGTTAGAGAAAATTCAGACTTGATCAGTAGCTTCCGCATCTTAAGTACTTTATCACGAGATCTCCTCAAAGTCAGGGTCACAGAACTACACATATCCTTCTTTACTTTTTAATCGGCTGCTTAAGGCGGATTCGACCTTTCTGCAGAGACTTCAGTGTCTGTACGGTTTCCGGGTACCGGTACAAGTTTTTTCTTCCCTTCACCCTTCCAATCAGAACATTCTATTTCGAGAGAGGGGGCTGATGAGCTGCTGCGAACGTTTAACCCTCAGAGGAGATGCATCTGATTTGAGTTTAGTGCTGTATGGAAAATCATCATGTTGTTCATATCCTCTGGTAAGGAGTTGTTTTTCTGTGTCCGGCTATGAAATTCGGGTCGTTCGATTTTTTTTCATTATTGATGTGAGGCCACCATTTGCAGTTCTTGAGTACATGCCTGGTTTGGATTGAATTTTGCTCAGATGCTTGGGTTTTTGGGTTCTTTACCCTGGAAATGACAGGTTTAGGTAGATTCGGCCTTTCAGACGAGATTTCAGTGTCTGTCCGGTTTTTGTTTACCGGTGCCTCTTCTCACTCTTCATATAAGAACATTCTACCTCGAGAGAGAGACTGGGCTTATCAACTGCTGCCGACGTTTAAGTGGAGAGAACTATCCAGGTTTAGATCAAGGCCTGCACCCTCTTTAATTAAATTTAAAATTACCAACAATTTTGTGGGGTGGCCCAACTGACAAAAAATTAAATTTTCAGGATAAATTTCCTAAAAACTTTAACATTTCCAAGGATGCCCGGCCCCCGGGTCCTTCCCTGGCTATATCGATGGTGTGAGCCACCATTTGAAGTTCTTGAGGGGTGTGGGTTGAGACTTGCTCAGATGCTTGGGCATTTCAAGTACTTAATAACGAGACCGCTGTGAATTCGGGGACATAGAACCACACATATCCTTCTTTACACTGGAAAATTAATTTCATTATCCAATTTTCTTTTGATTCTAAATTCTATCATCTAATCTATTTGCAGGATCTTGTCCATTTGGTAAATGCCGATCCACCATTCTGGCTTGTTGGCATGAATGAAATGACCAGAACTTTCGGTTTGGAACTGCTCGAGGCAGTGCTGACAAATTTCAGTGCTGTATTTCATGAGAATCGTGATTTCCGTCTGCTACTGAAAGAACGTGTCTGTGCCCTGGTCATCAAACTATTCTCGCCCAATGTCAAACATCGTTCTTTGCCAACACAAAATGCAAATGGCAATACCACAACTACCAGTGATAAACCCTACTTCCCCATTAGCATGCGTCTGTTGCGACTTGTGGCCATACTCATACAAAAATATCACACAATATTGGTGACAGAATGTGAAATCTTTCTTTCGCTGATTATCAAATTCTTAGATCCCGACAAGCCCCATTGGCAACGGGCCCTGGCGCTGGAGGTAATACATAAATTGGCCACCAAACCATCATTGGTTGCATTCTTTTGTAAATCATACGATTGTAAAAATCACGCCACAAATATTGTACAAGATATGATCACGGCATTGGGTACATATGTTCGCTACTCGTTGATAAATTCTGCGGCATGTAAGTTGAGAGGACATTTTTGGAAGTAGTATTGAAGAAATAACATGAACTTTTTCACGCTTCTTTCTTTCAGTGCTGAATGGCCAACAAAACGGAGCCGTCCAATTGAATACTTTGACCGCTCATAACTCGAATAATCAATGTGGTTTCGTTTTCCGTGGAGCCTATATGCCTTTGGTGGCCACATTCCCACCGGGCATATCTAAAGCTGTTTAGTAAGTATGGTTTTCGACTTCTTTGGCATTATTGTAATTTGATGAATAGGGTCTTATGTTTTTGGAATACGATTCATGTTTTCTGTCATACAAACAGGAAAGAATTATTCTTCAAATATTTTTTGAATAATTCACGTTCCATTTTTATTTCAGTTTAGAGATGTTAGATAAACAGGAGGCACCTCAAATTCCGGACAGTTATGGAATTTCAGTGGCATATGCGGTTCTCTTGGATATAACTCGTTCCATAGGCGGAGTTATTCAAAGGACACCTGAAATGGTATGTCGTGTAAAGATACATACACTGTTGAGAGCGGTGTCATATCATATCTCTTTTACCTTTTCCAGCATCCCACTCACAACACGGCTGTCATTACGGAAGAAGAACATAAACCCTTGTGTCTACAATTGATCAATTCCAGCTGGTCTGGTTTATTGTCCGCCTTCGTACCGCTTGTAGACGCCTCCATTGATGAGGCCACCACCGATAATATTCTCAAGGCTATGCAAAACTATGCCGCCCTGTGTGGCATTATGGATCTTTTGAATCCGCGTGATGCTTTTATTATGGCCATTTGTCGTGCCTCTTTCCCACCCCATTATGCCATGTCGATTTTTGCCAATAACCCACATATGGATGTTGATCTCAGATGTCATACACGTTCGAATAGCCAAGATCTCAATAATCAATTTATGAGTTCGTGCAATGAGTCCGGTGATTTTCGTCAACAAATTGTGGCAGTGGGAACACCACTGCCCAGTGCTTCCCTGCCGCATAGTGTAATGCAGGCTCCGGTTATGTTGACCACCAAAAATTTACAATGTATGCGTGCCATACTGTTTTTGGCCCACAGCAATGGTAGCATTTTGGGCACTTCATGGCACATTGTGTTGCAGACGCTGCAACATTTGGTGTGGATTTTGGGTCTGAAACCATCGACCGGTGGTAGTTTGCAGGCATTTCCCAAACCCGCCGTTGAGGCTAATGTGGGCATACAGACAGCTGTTATGGCCGATTTACCCGTTCTATCACAAATGTTGAGTCAACTTTTTGAATCTAGCCAGTATTTGGATGATGTGGCGTTACATCATTTAATTGATGCTCTTTGCAAGCTATCGCATGAGGCTATGGAATTGGCATATGCCAATAGGGTAAGTACCATTACATCTATAGGTTTTGTTAAATTCTAAAACCTGTTGGTTTTTCAGGAACCTTCATTATTTGCGGTGGCTAAGCTTTTGGAAACGGGTCTAGTGAACATGCCACGCATAGAGGTGTTGTGGCGTCCCTTGACTAATCATTTACTAGAAGTGTGCCAACATCGTCATATTCGAATGCGGGAATGGGGTGTGGAGGCCATAACCTATTTGGTTAAATCGGCATTGCAATACAAACATAGCCAGCCGTTAAAGGAGAATATGGTAGGACTTCATGTGGTTTACATAAAAATGGAATATTTATTTAAAAACACTTCCTATTTTGCAGAATCTTCAAACCATGCTTTTAAATCCTTTGTCTGAACTATCAACTGTACCCCATGCAGATGTTCGTCAACGTCAGCTCGATTGTGTTTTACAAATTTTAAATGGTGCGGGAGAAATTCTCTCGTTTGGCTGGCCTGCCATTATAGAAATCATTGGAGCCGTCAATGAACATCATGGCGAGCCATTGATACGTACTGCATTCCAGTGTCTACAATTGGTTATTACCGATTTCTTGACCGTAATGCCGTGGCGTTGTTTGCCCTTGTGCATTTCCACAGCAGCTAAATTTGGTTCACAAACCCAGGAGTTGAATATTTCCTTAACAGCTATTGGTTTGATGGTGGGTTTTCTCTTGTGTAGAGGTGACAATTTGGAAATTAAAATGCCTTTTTCTTTCAGTGGAATATTTCGGATTTCTTTAATCAAAATCAAGACAAATTGATGTCAGCCCAGGTGGATGATAGCACAATATTGCCCGATTTTCCGGGCACTGTTAAAATGCCGCAATTCGATAAGCTGTGGATGTGTCTCTATGCCAAATTGGGTAGGTGGTTTTTCCCTATTTGTATTTCTTGTATTATTGAAATTTTTATTATGCCCAACAGGTGAGCTTTGTGTGGATTCCCGTCCTGCTGTACGCAAATCGGCTGGCCAAACTCTATTTTCAACAATTTCTGCCCATGGTAGCCTTTTAAATCCTCCCACATGGCAGGCTTTGGTATGGCAAGTTCTATTCCCTCTGCTGGACAATGTACGTGCCCTTTCCAGTTCGGCTAGCAATGAAAAAGTTGATGCCAGTGGTAATATATTAATACATCATTCCCGCAATACAGCCCAAAAGCAATGGGCTGAGACACAAGTATTAACTTTATCTGGAGTTTGCAGAGTAAGTATTTGGGTTTTTAGTGGTGTTTGAAAAATTTAAAGTCATTCGCCTACTTCCTTTAGGTCTTCAATACAAAGCGTGAATTGATACAAATGTTGGGAGATTTCGATCGGGCATGGTCTTTAATTTTGGAATTCATACAAAATGCTGCTCTGAGTAAAAATGGTGAAGTTTCATTGGCTGCTTTAAAATCGCTTCAAGAGATTATGTATCACAATTCAGAGCCTAAAGTTGCAAGCAAACAGGAAACAGCTTCTTCTACATCGAGTACAGCTGGAGATAGAACAAAACTAAAAGATGAAGAAATTTGGAATGTAAGTGGCTACCATAGTTTCATTTATCTGTTATTAAATTGGATTTTACTGTGTTTCAGATTGCTTGGAAGATTTGGTTAAATATCGGCATGGAAAGTACAAAAATGACAAAATCTCAGGAATCATCACAAGATGAGTTCTATGTACCCAGCCAGGCCTATTTGACAGCTTTAATACAAATCTTTCCTGCGATATTTCAACATATACAAAAAAGGTAAGTCCCACCACAACGGTAGGCTGTACACATATATGGCACACTGTAAAAGTAGTCGACGCCAAGGAAAGTATTCATTCATCTTATTTTATAAGATATCTGAAAACATTCTACAATTTCGTATAGTTTGAAAGTTGCGACGCATCCAAACAAATTGTGATTAAAACCTATTATCCTTGGCCTAGATATACGAACTGTGTTGCTGAATTTCATCAACAATTGGTCGCTCTTTTACGATCGTCCAACTTAGCCACGTTGTTTGAGGATGTAGAGAGAACTACCCTCCGGCCAAGTTTGAAACGTTGGATAAACCACTAATATGTGTGGACGCCAGTTGTACGTGATCTGCGGAAATGAGAACCGAGCTGATTCGGTTCGGTGGGGTAGTTCCGACCACGAACTACCCCAAGATCCTAGGGGTTAAATTCGACAACATGTTCAAGAGGCCACAAGGTCTCACTTTTCAGCACATGGACTGTGGAGATGAGGCTATGGTGGGTTGATGGTGTTGTAATTCCGACCACTAATTACCCCAAGGTCTTAGGGGTCACATTCGATAGCCTTTTCAAGTCGTCCGCGCATACCGCAGCTATCAGCGACAATATTAGAAGTAGGAACAAAGTTCTCAAGGCAGCACATTAGGAGCTGATAAGGATTGTTGACCTCTTAAAGGGCGATAGGCCGTTCTGGGGTAAACTATGCGGCTCCGGTTTGATCCGCCAATGTTAGTGCTACGCAGTGGAAAAATATCCAATCTTGCCAGAATGCCGCCCTTAGAACCGCAACAGGGTGCCTCCTCATGACACCTTTCGACCATCTACATGAAGAGGTGAAGGTCTTGTCGATAAAATGCTGTCAATGCAATACCTGCTTGGGTGTTACAGACAGAGCCATCCGAATCACCATCTGGTGGATAGGAAAGACCTTCATGATCTAGAAAGAGAGATGCGGAGGTAAAAGGGAGTCTCTAGATCAACAGGCCTATCAAGCAGGACTGAATGGTATTCACTTTGACGCGGTCACAGAAGTCTTGCAAGGATATAGAGTGATTACAGTACTCAGAGCCCATTCCCCTACCATTTCATATGGAGTGCGAGAGTTGGCCCTACAAACCCGAGTAGTTTGACACAATTAAAATCCAGATGCCTCAACTCGTATTGGGTCCGCATTGACAGCCATGTACTGTGCCCAACATGTGTCATAGGTCCACATGACACGTTATACCTCTTTTACTGTCAATCTATACAGGTTTCTTCGTGCTTGGGGTTGGACTTAGAAGCGGAATCAGAACTGCTACAACAACAAATATTGTTTTGCAAATTGTGATATTCTCTCATTAGTTTTTAATTTATTTGTCATTTAATGATGTTTATATGCTTTTGTTTTCAATAATACGTTGCATTTCTAAATTTTTCTTTATTATTTTCAGATTCAAACAATCTGATTTTGAGAAATTCTGTACAGTATTGACTAATGCAGTTTGTATACCCGTACAAACCGAAGCAGTTCCTTATATAATGTCCTCAGTGTCCGATTCATTGTTAACGCCATTACATGATAGTATACTCGAGTGTATGGAATTAATACAAAAGGTAAGTATTTTGGTTTTTGGAGATTTGTGTTAACCACCAGTTTTTATTGATTTTTTCTACATTCCTTTATCTAGGAGGCTACCAAAGAAGATTCCAATTTAAGTCGCATGATTCCTGCTATATTCCGTCAATTACTGGTATTCAGTAAATTTGCCTGTACGCCACCGTCTCTACATATTGCTGAGCAACATAATAAATATTCCAAAACAACGAATCACTATGGAGGTAACAATAGTTCGGTGGAAGTTGTTAGCATGAATTATATACCATTTGGCGAGAAATCCATTAGTATTTGCGTTAAGCTATACCAATGTACAGCCACTGAGGAATCTGTTATGCAGGAACACATTTTGCATGAAATCATTAAGGTATGTTCTCTAAAAATGTGTTTTGTTTTATGTTTTTAAAATCTCTCAATAATATTTCTAGGCTTTAAGAACTCCCCTGGCCATGAAATACAAATGTTTGTCGTCGAGTACATGGAAATTGGCCATCTCAAGTTTAATCACAGTACTGCATACAGGTCTCAAAGTAGCTAGAGCGAAATCAAATTACTTTACTGGCATGTGGGATGATTTAGCAGACACACTTGATAAATTCCTATTTCCTCAAAGGTAAGAATTTGATTGTGATGAAAGGATAATGTAATTAAAAAACTCCCTTCCCCTTTGGCAGTGTCTGCACCATTGAAGATCGTGGCCTTGAAGAAATCGTGTTGGATGAAACCATTGACTGTCAAGTTATTGAACTATTACGTGACGAAGTTTTGCCTTACGCCCATGAAATGCCTCACCAGTTTATAATGCAAATTGTTGTTCTACTCAACAAAGGTTCCATACATTCCGCCTCCGATTCGAATATTTGTTATGAATCCGATTGGAAGCTACGCGAAATATTTGCCAAGACATGTTTTGAGACATTGCTGCAGTTCTCTCTGTTGGATGATAATTGTAATAATAATCGTTCGTCGGTATCGAGTACGGCCAGTCCATCGACAGCTGCTGCAAATGCATTAAATGCCAATATTGCCAATGCTGTTGGTGGTGCAGGTGGCAAAGATTTTGCTGGTCGTTTAGCGGTAACGGCATTGCTACATCGTTTCCAAGAGGTATTGAAACGTTTCAACGATGACGAACGTCAAAGTGGGAAGTGTCCATTGCCAAGGTAAGTTAAAAAATTAATTTATTGTTAAATGAAACGAAGTAGTTTTCCACATTTCTTTATACCCAAGTTGTCAGGTGTAGTTCCAATATCAGTGTTTTATATAAAGACAATATTTATTTAGCAGGGGACACCATTTCGAAACAATTTTGCTTTTTGGCTTTCTTTTTCTTCCTCGCAGCATTTTTAGCGGCGGGTCCATCGTTGTTTTTCCTTGCTTTTAAGTACCTCTGGTTTTTAAATCTCGGAGACCTTCTTTAAAGTCTTCTTTGTTCCAGTCTCCTCTAATAACACCTTTCCAGATGAGTAGGGATTTTCCGCAGTTGTCGCCTTTTTTGAGGCTTCGACCGATTTTACCACTGGTCTGCATTTGGGAATACTACTTATCGGGCATTCCTTTAGTGTTGCGTTAGGATATGTCCTCTCGAACTTCAGGCTTTGATGGATCCCCATCGGCATATCGATATGCCTTATAATACCCTACGCTACAAGGTGGTCAGGGTATTATGTCTTTGAGCATTTGTTTGTAACAGGCAAAAGGAAACGAGATTGAACCATAGTTCTTTTTAATGATCTGCATGGAATCACATTCTGAGTCGGTTTATGTATGTCCGTCCGTCCGTCTGTCCATGTATTCTTGTAAACAAAGTACAGGTCGCATTTATTGCCCGATCCAGATGAAATTTTGCACAAGTCGTTTATTTGACCCTAGGATGAACCCTATTGAAATTGGAATAATCAATCAAAAAAAAAAAAAAGATATAAATCCCATATATATCTTCGTCCGGGTTGCCTTTTATTGTGCACCATACGTGTAATATCAGCCCAGATACTAACAAATTAATCTTGAAAATAAGTATACAAAATCGGCTCAGATATAGCTATAGTTCCCACATATATTGTTCATTCGAATTGTTAGCTTTGTCGTCCGCAGCCGTAATATGCACTCTGCAAAGACGATATTTGGGGAAATATATCAAATACAGCTCAGAAATATCTTTGCTATTTTATTTTTCAAGATCGGTTCAGATTTGGATATAGTTAGATATATATCTTCGTCCGATTTGCCGTTTAACATTCCGCAATATTCCACTCGCTTCGCCGGGAATGAGCTCGGGGTAAAGCCATTGAAATTCCAAAATGTGCAAGAACTTTCACCGCAACAGAAAGAAAATAGACTCAAAAGAGCTAAAGAGTTGCTTCGCTTGGCCGAAAGTGGCGAACTGCCAAATTTGGTTTTATCCGATGAGTTTGTAAACAAACAAAATTATCGTGTTTACTTGCCAAAGAGGTCAGCTGAAAATGTCCACCTTCGGTTGGCCACCAAAACTCAAGCGCCTTCCATGGTGATGGTGTGGGCCGCAATAACAGCCGATGGTCACTCTCCGCTCGTATTAATCAACCATGGCATCAGATTAAATGCCGAATATTATCGCGAAAATATTCTGGAGGGTGTATTAAAGCCTTGGGCACGCAAACATTTTGCCCGCAGACCTTGGACATTCCAACAGGACTTAGCATCATTGCACTTAGCACGCGCCACCCAAGAATGGTTACAAAATGAGGTTCCTCGCTTCATTTCCAGCGCAGAATGACCATCAAAATCTCCGGATACCAATCCTTTGGACTATTGTGTCTGGAGTAGTTTGGAAAGCACGGTTTCAAGGCCATAATTCGTGCCAAAGGTAACCAATTCGAACAAATCTAAATTTATTCTAAAATATGATGCTTTTTCCGGCATTGTGTGCTTTCACTCAATGAATTTTAAAAAATAATAAAAATTATGGCGTTTGACTTTGTTGCAGTTTTTTTTATCTCACCCTGTATATATGAGGTGTTTTAGTAGGGTAGCCAGGCGATGCTTTTGGAAAACCAATAGACAATAACGGGATCTAGAGAGTTCCTATCTCCCAATTGCCAATTAGTTTCTGTCTCCTGTTTGATAACATTGAGTATCTGCATAGTAGGTGTTCAATCGTCTCTACCTCTTCTTACAATCTTATTCAATTTTGAGATCAGATATCTGATACTCCAGTCAGTATGCCTACTGCTATCCCTAGTCCTTTCTTAAGCCCTTGTTAATTTCTATTGCTTTTTATTTTTCAGATTCCGCCTTTCGGAAATCTCCTTTGTTTTAAAAGCAATTGCCACATTGGTTATATCCATGAAAAAGGCGCCGGCATCGAAAGGTTTGTAAATTTTTATAAACCAATAAAAACAACAAACTAATACTATGTGTTATATTTTTGCAGTAAATAAACCCGCCTGGGATCAATTAATTGGTCTCTATCCATATTTGGTAGATTGTACAACAACAACATCACCCGAAGTGTCACGTTCATTACGGGAGGCTCTTTTACAGTACACAGATTTGTTGCATGCACCAAAATATTTTAACAATAACAACAACAACAACAACAACAATGTCGACAATACTGCAACATCATCGTCATCCTCAAATATACAATGTGTCACATCATCCTCCTCAGTGTCAAACGAGACACAGCAACACACCAATGGTCCAGAGTAAAACGGAATGAAAAGCAAAATAGAGGTTTGTACTGACTTGATCAGAGACAGAGAAAAATAAAACGAGAAAAATAAATACAAAATATATTTGAAAATATGAAATAATAGGGATATGCTTTATATAAATGAAAATGTAGTTAAAAAAACGCCTACCAGCAAATGTGTACATGCTTGCATGTACTTCGCGCATAGAAAGAGAGAGACTCGTAATATTTATTCATACATTCACATATAACAATATACAATTATACACATATTTAAAAAAAGAGGAGAGAAATAATCAAATTTAAGTTTTAAACAACAATAATTTTTATTCCAAAACAATATTATACTACATATATACAAACTCAAAATGTGTGATTTGTTAAAACAAAACAAACGAAATAAATATCATTTGCTACATAAGGTGTGCTTTTTATAGAATTTCATTTTGTTGTTGGTTTTCCCATATTTATTGATTTTGTTTTGTTTTAACTCTCCACACTACAACTATAAAAATAACTATGCAATAAATCAATTATTTACATATATTTATATTCATAGTAATTATGCAAAATGTCCTAATCATAACTGTGGAAAACCTCAAGATTTTTGGCGTTCCAAAACAAAAGTGAGCTTTCTTTAACTCATGCTGTATTATCGTCGACCAATGAGTTGTTTTCAATTAGAACCCAGTCATCTAAAATAGAAGAATTTCTTGCTTTATTTGGCCATGATTGGATTAAACCAGTTAGTGTCCAAAGAACCCCGCAGACTATTCGGGAGTTAACACTAGAAACAAAACATCAATCCATAAATGATTTGGAGGTGTAATTATTCCACTCGAATCTGAAAATGAGACGAGTGTGGAAAGTTCAAATGTAAAAGAATGGCAAAAACAAAACTATAATAATGAAGTTGTGATTCTTCAGGATGTTTTAAATTATATAGCTTTAGAGAGCCTTTGGAAGATGAGCTGATTATCTATGACGCATGTCAAAGAAACCGGTAATAAATAAAAAGTGTGACCAAAAAAGTATCCTCAAAGGGGAAAATATAGAGAGAATTGGAAAATTTAGAAATAATTTGATAGATTTCTTGGCAAATAATTTAAAAGATTTCCTGGCGAATTATTCTAGTCCTTGATGAATTAAATCCTATTTCTTGAGTATTTCTTACAACAACAAATAAGAACTATAGACCTAACCTGTAAACATTCTTCTCCATTTTACCATAGTCTACAAGGTTTTGTGTTTACAATTTTTCCCAAAAAAAAAAAAAAAGAACTGGATTAGCAAAGCGTAGTCCAACTAGAATGTAATATAAATTTTGATTAATTGAATAATCCAAATACCGATTATCAAATATTATGGCCAGGAATGCTTTCATCTTCTAAAAAAAAGGGTAGTACGAGTAACAAGAGTTGCAGCTATAAAATTGCGAAGATACCGCACTGACCGAAAGACTTTAGTACTATAACAGATTCCAACTTTGCCAAGGATGATTTGCAAAAAGAGAGAATACGGTCAAAACATGCTTCATCGAAATAACGGTTTGAGACCCTAGGTCCCTTTCCACCAAATCCGTTTCAGGACCTTTAGAGTCGATCTAGCAGCCCATCTGTCTGGCTGGTGGGCACGTTAACTCTCGAAGGAAGTACGTGTACAAATTGGTACCTAGGTTAGGTTAAATAACGGTTTGAGACCCTAGGTCTCTTTCGACCAAATCCGTTTCAGGACCTTTAGAGTCGATCTGGCAGCCCATCTGTTTTGCTAGCTGGCAATTTAACTTTCGAAGGGAGTATCCAAATCGGTACCTACGTTAGGTTAATGGATGCGTGGTTGTTTGAACAACCACACCACTCGGTGACCTGCTGGTCCATTATTAATTTGTACCTAAGGGATAATCCAAATGTCTACAATCTTTCCAATATTTGTATAAGTGCTAGGTCAGCTGCGAAAATTAACAATCTCGGATCACTTCTTCTAGTACCTCCCCCACAAAGGGACAAAATGTTGAAAAATCATATCTTACAACTCTAACTTTGCACATCCCAATATTCCTACCAACACAAGATCTGTTGTGAAGATGACCCGTCAAAGGGTCTATCATTTTGAATAAAAATAATGATCATAAAATGCGAAAATGAGAAATAAGAGATGATAATGTCCAAGACGAACTTTAGGGTTTCTATTTCCCACCTGCCAAATAGCCTATGTCTCTTATTGGATAACATGGGACATGTACAAAGTAGATGTTCAATCGTCTCTACCTCTTCTTTATCTTCACATAGGCTACAGTAATCAGGAACACAGTTGTCCCATTTTGAGGTCAGATATCTTCTAGCATAGACCTACTAAATGATAGAAGCTAGTTTGTTCACCGTCTAGAGATTGCCGGGCAGATATCCTGCAACCGGTTTCCAAGTGCCATCTTCTTCTAGCTTTTCTTTTTTGAGAGATTTTTGATGGTTTATCGGCCTCATCAATCGGTATATCATTCACCTGGGATACGCCTCGAGCTACTAATTCATCAGCCACTTCATTTCCTACTATATTGCTATGCCAATCAGCCATAGGTTAGGTTAGTTTAAAGGATGCGCGGTTGTAAAAACAACCACTCCACTTGGAGACCTTTTGGTCCATTGTGTTCAACCTAATTAAGAAGCTAGGAGAATAGGATAGAGAGAAGAAAAGAAAATGAATAGTGAAGAAGTGAGAATCAGTATAAAGAGTACAGAAGTTAGTAGGTTTGCATCCACGGTGTACCGACGTGTCCTCCTTTGCCATTTTAGTCCTCTGGCTAACTGAATCAGCCAATAAGGCATAGATGTAATGTAAATATGGGATGTGACACATTTTATCCTTTGGTCAAACCACAAGGCTTTTACAGCATCAATCCTATTTGAGCATATTTGCAATTAGCCAATTTGGGCCAAAGTATGTTTCTGAAACTTCCTTTATAACACTGCTAATTGCGAGTTAGGAATTTCAATAATACAACTCTTGTCGATAAAAGGGAAGTGACAATTCTTCGCCATTAGGTCATTACAGCATTTGAAAATTCGTTATTGCACTTTCAAAATCCGAATTGAAATTTGTAAAATATTTCTTAAAGTTTCGCCCCAGCCACAGTTGTGATTACCAAATATGTACTAAAAACAAACAATAGCAACAAAATACGACGAAAATTAGAGTATAATTTTTTTTTTAATAAAACTTTACATAGATGATATACATGCATATATACACACATATAAATAATAATAATACTTATTAATATTTGGAAATTTTACCTTTTAACCAACAAAAACCAAACTCCAAAGAAACGAAAATCCAATACAAAAAGAGAATCTTAAACAAAGAAGATAACGCATTTTATTGAAACTGAGAAAATAATGAAGAAAATGTACCTTTTCCATATATTTTATTCTATTTTTTTATTTTTGGTCTTTCTAATAATGTATACAAACCATATATAAATATATAACAAAAAAACTTTAGAAATAAAAAAAATCTAACAAAAAAAGACAATTCTTATATAATTATCATTATTATAATAAAACACGTTTATAAAATATATTATTAAATAAAAAATATTTATTATTATTATTGAAATGGAATTTCTGTTTGTTATCACTAAATAAAAGAAATAAATAAATGTTTTAATAGTATGTATCTTATTTACATAAAAAAAAAATTCCAAAGTATTGATAATAATTATTTAATAATCTTTGTTCTGTTTCCTATTTGTTTTGACTCGATTTCAATTTCTTTGTTTTTTTTTTTTGTATTATCTTAAAGAGTAATCCTGTAGTCGTTTTTGTGTATTACATTTTTAAGAATATATATTTCTTATACGCATATTTGTATAGTTTAACAAATCAAAAACAACATAATATATATACACTAACACTACAATTACTCCAGTGCATATATAGATACATACACTAATATACACATAATGAGGTCAAATGTAACCTCAAAGTAATATTCTGAACACATAAAATTTACATGTTTTAAAGTAAACAACTACCCGAATTACAAACAAAAAAGAATCTTTGTAGTGAACGTTTTTATTGTAATAATAAAGAAGAGGAAGAATAAACAATCAATAAAGTTTTAAACCCCAAAATATAACTGTCTTTCTTATATCGATGTATGTATATTTTAAGTTGCCAAGCGGAACATGTGGAATTAAAGAAAACTTCTTTAAATAATAAAAAAATTGTTTAGAAAATATTCAAATTAAGGTGTTTTCAAAATGCTTATTGCAACGTATGCATCTACCAAATCTACGCGCGTGCTGAGTGTGATGGTGCTGAGTCCTGTTGGAAAGTTCAAGGTCTGCGGCCAAAATGTTTGCGTGCCCAAGACTTTAATACACCCTTCAGAATATTTTTGCGATAATATTTACCTCTTTGGTAAGTAAACACGATAATTTTGTTTATTTACAAACTGCTGGACAACGAATCTTTTCTCATCGGAGAAAACCGAATTCGGCAGTTCACTCTTTTAAGTCAAATTTTTTCTGTTGCGGTGTAAGTTCTTGCACTTTTTGGAATTTCAATGGCTCACCCCGATCTCATTATTCAATATTTGCCGAATGAAATATTGCGATATGTTCAGCTCACGAGCCATTTTTCGGCCACTGCGATGCGGGTATCGATGAAGTCGCTTCTTTACTTTTCGGACCATTTCTGCTGATGTTGCTGTTTTCTTCCGTCCACTTCCTTGACGTCGGGCTACGCCATCAGTATCACCAACCGAGTAACGAGCGATGGTACGATACACAAAAGATTTATTCACATTTAAATGCTGGTGTGCTCTAACGATAGCTACTTATGGCTTTCCAGCCAAATATAAAGAAATCACACTATCACGCTTGAATTCCATCACGAATAACTTTTTTTCTGGAAAATTCTCACCAAAATGCTTTTATACGCTTGTAAACAATATAATGAGCTGTCACTGGTATAATTTTAACAGCTGTTGGACGTGCGGCTTAGAAATGACAGCAGTTTGAAGTTGGTTGCAGTTTTTTCATCTCACCCTGCATGTCTGATATAAATATTACAACGTGCCATATTTGGACTATGTCACTTGATATAAGACATGTGATAATTTTAAACATTGTTCTCTTCATAAAAGGAGTCCACTACCAATATACAATATTTATATGCAGGAATACGCTGTGATACTATTTGCTGGATTGGTAAGATTTGTCTAACGCTTGGGAGAACTTCATCTTTTATAGGCATTCTTTCATGACTCCAGTAGAGGAACCATCCGGTCCATTCTCCGAGCTTCGGGAATGATGAATGTCACCAACACGACATTTGAAACATCAACCATCGTAAATTGTGTTGTGGTACTTCCTTAGACCTGGACGTACATCTGAAAATATTGTATATGCTGCCGACAGTATATTTTGTTCTTTTAACGCTATTTATACACACTATCAAGGTAGAACGTTTATAAATCCTTGGAACTAGCATATCAACTCCAATAGAGATATGAGACTGAATTGTTCACAGATGTCCGATCATAATTTTTAGACTGCCCAAACTGTTTCTTACTAAAAAATACTTAACAGAGAGAATCTTATTTAACAATTGGAGCAATTAACAAGTAAAAAAGCAGTAAGTTCAGCCGGGCCGTACTTTGAATACCCACCACCATTTGGAACGAATTTGGATATTTAAAAAAAAAAGATCCGTTAAAAATTCTGTAAAAATCATAAAAAATACCGAACATAGCCGTTATATTGGGGTCTATACGAAGAGGTGGACCTGCATGGGCAACCTTTGTCATAGGCCATTACAATATTTAAATACGAACCTTGAAAAAATTCCGGTAGCTAAATTTATCAAAATACCAAATATAGTTCCGATTACGAACTCTAAATACAAAAGTTGAAATAACTCGGGTGAATAATGTCGCTAAAATCATCAAAATACCGAATATCGGAAGGTACTAATATATTGGGGCTATGCGAAGACGTGGGCTTGCATACGCGAATTTTTGTCATAGGCTGTAGTATCCAATACGAACTCTAAATGTACAAGTACATAGGAACCTTGAAGTCATGGCTAGGCATGATATTTCATAAAGGGATTACATATATTTCATAAAGGGATTACAGTGCCGCACTAAAATCCTGCCATCGTTTTTCATTAAAATTTGACATCAATATGCCTAGCCATGACTTCAAGCTTCAAGTGTTGACCTTTCATTCAGTTATCGCGGGTTTCAATTATTTATTCAAAATAAATGCAACAAGTTGTTTGATTTTTTATTGTTTTGATACTAATTTTGACATTACAAGCCAAACAGGTAGACCTCTATACTTGCAATTTTTTCAAAGTTGACCTACCTTCTCTTCATTGTACCATGCGTGCACCCTAACTCTTAGTTCGTGTTTGTTCTTTTACTCTCCTTTGTTCTTTTCCGAAGAAGACAGCCTAACTTAAGCCAGTCAAAAAAGCGTTTTATATATTCTCACCTTTAGTATGATATGTGATTTTAAACAAATTTAAATAATTGTTCATTAAAAATTTTGAATTCCAACGTACGTACTTTTCGTATGCAAACCGAGCCCTATTTTCATTGAAAAAATATAAGGTGTATCTGGTTAGTTTTCCTGCAGGAATTGTCCAGAAACTTCTTTCTGAGAGAATAAGGTAATTTTATTCTTTTTTGAAAGAAAACTCTGAAAAGTACACAGACGGAATTCCTGCAAACGCAAACAATTAAAAATGAATCGAAAAACCAAAAAATGTTTTTAAATTACTTGCCCAAATTAAAATCAACAAATCCCGTTGATTTATACGTCAAATAAAATCCACTGGTTTGAAGATTTGACGAGTACGCAATGGAATTGACTGTTGAAATTGACAGGATTTATTCTATATAAACTAGTCATAATCGCCGTACACACTTAACAGATCCAGTGGAATTCAACTGTCAATTTTATTGTCCACTGTACTTGAGTGTCGACTTCATTTGACGTATAAGCATTTGGATTTGACAGCTAAAATCCACTCGATTTAATAAGTGTAAACGTATTTTTACGTCTACGTAAATTCAGTTGAAATTCACTGGATTTACTATGTGTGTACAACGTTTAACCATGATAAAATTAAGAAGGCAAAGTCATTTCATGCAATGAGCATACCCATCTCTGCAATTTCCGTAATTTACCTTGTTAAATTTCACTGCATAAAAAATAGGTTTCCATCTCTGATTTGTGTATTTAGAGGGGGTTTATAAATATACATTTTGACAATGAGATGTTGTCAAATTAATAATTTTGAAAAAATTGTAAACATATGATTGCACGACTTTACCTTCTTAATTCTACCATGGTTTTAGCAGACTCCGAAAATATAAACAAGATTTGAATACTCCCCTTTTCAATGGAAATAAAACACAGAGACAAAATATTAATCTAAATAAAATTTTTTATTTAATTTATTTTATTTTCAATTTTTGTTCTTGTCATCATTTAATAATAAGTATAATAACATTTCTCATTTGTTTTTTTTTTAATTATTAATCATAACTTAATTCATTTAAATTTGGTTTTGTTTTTATTCGGTTTTTAGTAATTTAAATCAATACAGTTTTTTGTTGTTTAATTTCATTATAATTTAATTTTTTGTCATTATTTTGTTTTTTCTTTGTTTTGGATGTCTGGTAAATTATATTTTTTATGTATAATTAGGCAATCGAAAGTTCTAATGAGAGGAAAGGAGGAGAGCGAGGAAGGGAAATTTTTGGTTTTAAGTGTAATTTTTTTATGTGATGTATGGGTAAAGAAGAAGGAGGGTGGGAAAAGGTTTCCACAAAAATTTGTGATTCTTATTTTGTTATAAAGTAAATGAATTTTTTTTTGACAGCTAATGCTATTTTGTGACACCCTGTCTAAACATAGTATAAATTAATTACAGTTGCCGTTTGAACATGGTTTAAATATACGTTTTAAAACTACAAAGAATGTAAAATTGGGGGTGTTCACATGCAGTGATGGTGGCTAAATGAATATTTTATTTGGAGGTATTTGTTTTTGGGGGGTCTGATTTTTCTTCTTGTCGATTTAAAGGTTACATATTACTTATTATTGACAACATCTCATTTAGTTGTTAACCACCATCAACGAACGAAATTGAAAACAGAAAGAAGAAGGGCCATATGTAAAAGGATAGGATAGGATTAGGATAGTTTTAATTTTTTGACGGGAATTTATTTTTTTTTATTTGTTTAATTTTTTTTGTTAAGTGCAACATTGGTTTTATTTGAATTGTTTTTTTTTGCTCTTTTTTCTGCATTCGGTATGTACGAGGAGCAGATGTTTTGGTTTGTTTTATTCTATACAACTTGTTTTTAATTTTAAATGTTCAATGTTTAGTTTTATTGTTTTAGTTTTGTTTTTACTCTTTGTTTTGTTTATTTAGTTTAACCTTATACAATACATTGCTATTTCAAAAAATGTTCATTCATTTATGTTTTTATTATTTTATTAATTTTTGGGCCTAATTTTTAATCAGGATTTCATTAAAGGGAATTATGGTTTTGTCTGTTTTCTCCTTCGTCTTCTTTTTTGTTTAAGGTATAATACATTGTTGTCATATACTTCGGTACGTTAGAAAGACAGGGAATGTGTTTTTTTTTTTTGGTGATTTTCATTTCCTTCGTTTTAATTTTGTAGTGGTTTAGAATTTGATTTATTAATGGGCCAGAGGTTGGTGATATTTATGTTTTGTTAAGTGTATTTAATTTTTATATGTATATTTATATCGTTTATAATGTAATATGTAGGTAATGTATTGGGTTTGTTCATTTTTATTATATATATGTATATGTATTTAACAATAGTTGCTGTCATTTTTTTGTTTCTTCAAATTAGCACAAGTGTGTTTGGTTTTTTCATGTAATAATTTTTGGTAATTTGGTTAATCGTGTGATTTTGTTTTAATACTTAACGTTTATCATATATGTGTATATATAAATTATGCAATTAAAAAATATGATTTTTTATAATGAATTGAGATCAAATTATTAATATCAACTATAAAATGATTTAATCATATACAAACATATATGTTTTGAACATGTGTAATAGATAAAACCCTAAGAAG